CCAACTAGCTAGGGACAGAGTATTACACTAATTTTGCACTGAAAACTTCCAGGTTCCACATCGACTCTTTACAAGAAAAAGGACAAACTGCCTCGGGAAAACTCCAGATACATTAAGGACAAGGACGAGAGAAAAATGACGAGCAAAAGCCAGTCGGTGGAATCGATTGCAAGAAGATCGCGGGGCGAAGCTCGCGACGTTTCGAGATCGGTGTCCATGCCCAGGGACACGGAAAAAACGGCCGGGTGGTTCAAAAAGTCGAAGAAGTCGAGCAATGCGCATCGGCTGTGATTGATAATACCGGGGCTTTATCGCCATCAAGTGCCATTGTATGCGGCTCTCGCGAATTTACCGCAGTTAAATTTGCGCGAGATTGAAATCTGTTCCACATGTGCCTTATATTGTTAATGTAATATAGTTGCTGATGTTTTATTTCCTTTTCGTTACGATGCACACCTAGTGAAATGGAAATAGAACTCTCGCCCCCCACCTACTTACGTCTAATGTTTCGCGATCAAAATAATCAAATCATTAATTAGTGGTGCTAGAAATGCGTCAATCCAACTGACACCATTGTTAAAATGTTACCCTATTTTTATCCCTAATTCTAGTTGTTAAATTACTCTTTGTTTAAAGTGCTATATTAATAAATCTAAATAAAAGTTAATAACTAATATCGCAGCGTTTCACTAAATAACCCACCAAGAACAGAGCAAGAGTAGTCGATACTTGCCCGTTGCTACACTGGGAAAAACTCCCGCAATCAACCATAAAGCGATTTTTTGGTCACTACTGCACTGGCAAACATTGTTTTGCAGACTTTTGCACATGTACATTTTAGTATTGAAAAAAAAGCTGGTTTTCAAAAATGTATCTCTTCTAAACTAGAACACATCAAGGCTTGCAATTTTCACTATTTAAAGAACTCACTTGACATTGCAACGTAGAAATTTTCAAGCAAATCAGCCTGCAGAAAATTTTTACAGGAATTTACAAACTTGTCCTTGATTCTCACTAATGCTCTTAAATAGACTGCCTTTCAAAAATTCCGCAACCCTCTAATAGAGCAGGTAGAGACTTGCCTTTTTGGCCTACAAGAGTTATAAGCTTGCGGATTCTAGCGGGCTTTGAAAGTTGTTTTACTTCAGTCATTTGTCGAGTTCGAGGAAAATGTAGGGAAAATCGGTTTCGGTTTTTTGGACAGTTTTTTCAATTTGTGCGATTTTTGCACTTCATTCTTCAAAAGGCTATTTCTCAAAAACCAGATGGGAGAACTCTTTGGAGTTTTTGGCCGTCTTAAAGAAAGCTTTATGTCAATAGTTGCGTGAGTTTGGACAAAATCCAGTGGAAAGTTTCCTTGGAATTAATTTTGGAATTTTAGAGAGTTATTTGATTTAGAGCGGTTTTTGCATTGTATCTTCAGGAACCCATTGCTGTAGACCTGCACGAGGTATCAACTTGCGGTTTCCAACAGAGTTTCAAAGAGGCTTTAATTTAGTTATTTAACGAGTTTCAAAAGAATATAGAGAAAAGCTTCTTTGGAACGAATTCGGGAACTTCGGCCAGTTTTCTCACTTTGTGCGGTTTTTGCAAGTTATTTTACTTCAGTCATTTGTCGAGTTTGAGGAAAATGTAGGGAAAATCGGTTTCGGTTTTTTGGACAGTTTTTTCAATTTGTGGGATTTTTGCACTTCATTCTTCAAGAGGACATTTCTCAAAAACTATCGAAATAATCAAATCATTAATTAGTGGTGCTAGAAATGCGTCAATCCAACTGACACCATTGCTAAAGTGTTACCCTATTTTTATCTCTAATTCTAGTTGTTAATTTACCCTTTGTTTAAAGTGCTATATTAATAAATCTAAATAAAAGTTAATAACTAATATCGCAGCGTTTCACTAAATAACCCACCAAGAACAGAGCAAGAGTAGTCGATACTTGCCCGTTGCTACACTGGGAAAAATTCCCGCAATCAACCATAAAGCGATTTTTTGGTCACTACTGCATTGGCAAACATTGTTTTGCAGACTTTTGCACATGTACATTTTAGTATTCGAAAAAAAAGCAGTTTTTCAAAAATGTATCTCTTCTAAACTAGAACACATCAAGACTTGCAATTTTCACTATTTAAAGAACACACTTGTCCATTGGCAACGTAGACAATTTCAAACAAATCAGCTTGCAGAAAATTTTTACAGGAATTTACAAACTTGTCCTTGATTCTCACTAATGCTCTTAAACAGACTGCCTTTCAAAAATTCAGCAACCCTCTAATAGAGCAAGTAGAGACTTGCCTTTTTGGCCTACAAGAGTTATAAGCTTGAGGATTCAAGCGGGCTTTGAAAGATCCTTTACTTAAGTCATTTGTCGAGTTTGAGAAAAATGTAGGAAAAATCGCTTTCGGTTTTTTGGATAGTTTTTTCAATTTGTGGGATTTTTGCACTTCATTCTTCAAGAGGCCATTTCTCAAAAACCAGATGGGAGAACTCTTTGGAGTTTTCGGCCGTCTTAAAAAAAGCTTTATGTGAATAGTTGCGTGAGTTTGGACAAAATCCAGTGAAAAGTTTCTTCAGAGTGAATTTTGGAACTTTAGAGAGTTATTTGATTTAGTGCGGTTTTTTGCATTGCCTCTTCAAGAACTCATTGCTCGAGACCTGCACGAGGTTCCAACTGGCGGTTTCCAGCAGAGTTTCAAAGAGGCTTTACTTTAGTTATTTAGCGAGTTTCAGCAGAATGTAGAGAAAGGCTTCTTTAGAACGAACTCAGGAACTTTGGCCAGTTTCCTCACTTTGTGCGGTTTTTGCACTTCGCTCTTGAAGAGGTTATTTCTCTAGAACTAGATGATGTATCAGTTTGCGACTTTCAGCAGGCTTTGACCGAGGATCTAGTTTAACCATTGTGTTAATTTGGGCAGAATCCGATGAAAACTTTCCTTGGAAGGAATATCGGATCTTTGAACAGTTTTTTGATTTGATCGGCTTTTGCACTATACGTTTCAAAAACGCATTTCTCAAGGCCTACAAGAGTTATAAGCTTGCGGATTCTAGCGGACTTTGAAAGTTATTTTACTTCAGTCATTTGTCGAGTTTGAGGAAAATGTAAGGAAAATTGGTTTCGGTTTTTTGGACAGTTTTTTCAATTTGTGTGATTTTTGCACTTCATTCTTCAAGAGGATATTTCTCAAAAACTATCGAAATAATCAAATCATTAATTAGTGGTGCTAAAAATGCGTCAATCCAACTGACACCATTGTTAAAATGTTACCCCATTTTTATCCCTAATTCTAGTTGTTAAATTACCCTTTGTCTAAAGTGCTATATTAATAAATCTAAATAAAAGTTAATAACTAATATCGCAGCGTTTCACTAAATAAGCCACCAAAAACAGAGCAAGAGTAGTCGATACTTGCCCGTTGCTACACTGGGAAAAATTCCCGCAATCAACCATAAAGCGATTTTTTGGTCACTACTGCACTGGCAAACATTGTTTTGCAGACTTTTGCACATGTACATTTTGGTATTCGAAAAAAAAAGCAGTTTTTCAAAAATTTCTTTCTTCTAAACTAGAACACATAAAGGCTTGCAATTTTCACTATTTAAAGAACACACTTGACCATTGGCAACGTAGACAATTTCAAGCAAATCAGCCTGCAGAAAATTTTTACAGGAATTTACAAACTTGTCCATGATTCTCACTAATGATCTTAAACAGACTGCCTTTCAAAAATTCCGAAACCCTCTAATAGAGCAGGTAGAGACTTGCCTTTTTGGTCACACATAAAAGATACGTAAACGTCAAAAAGTCGAAATTTTTAAGCAAGAGGTTACAAATTCACAAACTTTCCTTTCACACTCACTCAATTTCCTATGCAGACGTGATGCAGACAGAAATTTTCACGTGTAAACTAAAGCACGTAGAAATTTATCTTTTAAGTCCTTCAGTGTCCTACTTGAACATCTCACTGTAAAAATTTTCAGGCACATTAATTCATAGAACAGTTTTTCCAGAATTATCAAATTTTCGCTTGCTACACACAAACGCTCTTTAGCAGAGTGGCTTTTAAAAATTTCTCACGTTTAAACTGAAGCACGTAGGGAGTTGCCTTTTTCGTCATTTATTAAAGACACTTGACTGTTAAATCAACGAAAACTGCAAAGCAAATAAGTCTTGGGCAAGATTTTTTTTTAATTTACAAAATTTCGCTTGATACTTATTAAAGTGCACACTAAAAACCTTTATTTATTTTTTGAAGCATAAGCAACTACTCAGAGCCAAAGGGTCTAAACATGGTGAACTTTTAACTGAAATTTGCGATAACACTCCTACTTTGCATTTTTTGCTCAAAAATCGCGCCAGAAAATTTAATTTTTCGTATTTTTATTATAAACATAAAACGACAGACTCGTTTACAGACTATTAATTTAAAAAATCTCAAAAAATTATCCCAACCAATCACTGCGAAATCTCATCTATTGATTTACATTAAATGAAACTGATGTTGTCATTCCAGAACGCTGCTTGCATCAGTTTTCTCTCTCACACACATATAAGTCTGAGAGAGACTTACCATCGCCCTTGCTTTGCTACCTTCCAACTTGATACATTTACGGCTCGAAATATTGAGTTTTGAGAAAGACGATTGGAAGAAAAAATCCAGTGGCAAAAAACAACGATTGTTTATGTGTTTTGCTCAGAAGCAGACTTACTTTCAAAAATTCGTCACGTCTAAACTACAGCATTTAGGAACTTGCCTTTTTGGCTATTTACAGAAGACACATGGCTGAAACGAAGAAAATTGCAACTAAGTCAGTCAACAGGAATATTTTTCTCGAATTAGCAAGTTTTTCGATGATACTCACTAACGCTCTTAAGCATATTGACAGTAAACAAATCATTCAGAGTCAGTCATAAGTCATATAAAATAATTGATTGATAAAATACATTAAAAATTAAGTGCATACTAAAAGCCTTTATTTATTTATTGAAGCATATGCAGCGACTCCGAACCAAAGGATCTAAACATGGTGAACTTTTAACTGAAATTTGCGATCTCGCTCCTACTTTGCATTTTTTGCTCAAAATAATCGAGAGAAAATTTAATTAACTGTTTTTTTTTATTATCGACATAAAACGACAGACGAGTTTACGGACTATTAATTTAAAAAATTCCCAAAAAACTACGGCTTATTTCAAACAATGGCTGCGAAATTCTTGCCGAAATCTTACAAATTGATTTACATTAAATGAAACTGATGTTGGCATTCCAGAACGTTGCTTGCATCGGTATTCTCTCTCGCACACATATAAGTCTGAGAGAGATCCACCACCGCCCGTGCCTTGCTACGTTCCAACTTGATACCTTTACAATAATATCTAAATCTAAGTCTAAATCAGAGCACGAAAGGACTTGACTTGAAGCTCTTTTATAGAAGATGCTTGACTGGTAAAACATGGAACATTTGGAGAAAATCAGGACACAAGGAGGTTTTCTAGGAATTAAGAAACTGAGGGACAGTTTAATGCTCAAAGAAGAATTAGAGCCGACTGCTCATTAAAAATTATTCGCATCTAAATTAGAGCGTGTATAACTTGCGTTTTCGGACATTTATAGAAAGCACGTGGTTGAAAACTTGTGAAAAAGTTCAAGCAAATTAGTTCCCATGATGATTTTTCGC